TATGAACAGTCTACTGTGAACAAACCAACATTACAGTTTCGTGTTCCGGATAAACAATACACATTCATCCCTAAGTTTTCAATTACAGTTAATACGTACATGTCGATTTTTGAAATTATCTAGTTTTGTTAATATGAGTTTCATTTCTGAGTACTAACTTCATGTTAATCATCAGGTCTTGATGATATCACCCCTTTACAACCCGCAGCTGGCTATGACATAAGCGAGAGTTCAGAAGGAAGCAAGTATTTTCTCCCGATTGTGGATGACGAGCTCAAGCCAATGATGAGTGCACGCTATGCATCTAAAAATGATGCTGAAAAGTTGTATAGAGCTTACGCGGACAAGGCCGGGTTTGATGTTCGATTACATGCAAAAAAAAAAACAAGCACGGAGACATTCAAAATAGATGGTTTGTGTGTAGTAGGGAGGGAAACACAAACAAAAGACAATTTGATTCTATGGAAATTCAGAGCAGTGAGAGGAGATATCGCAATACGAACCTTAAACGTTGTGGATGTAATGCATGTTTAAAAATCCACTTGACGAAGGATGGGTCTTGTTACGAGATATACGAGTTTGTTGAGGCACATAACCATGAGTTGTTCAACATCAACGATCGTCGTTTCTCTAGGAAGAATAGACAAATGAAGTACACAAATTTCAAAAATGTGCTCAACAGCTCGAGCTACAAAGTTGGAGTGAGAAGGGCACATCGTATTCAAATGGCATTGAACGGAGGATTTGAGCACATTCGAGTTTCAGAAATTGATTTCAAGAATTTTAAGAGGGATGCTGTTGCTTGTGTTGGGAACAAGGATGCAAAGATGTTGATCAATAAACTATCAAATAGACGTGAAATTGTCCCAGGTTATTTCTTCGAATACAAGTGTAATGAACGGGAGTTGATCGCAATTTTCTGGGCAGATGAAGTTGCTAGGATTAACTACAAAGAATTCGGGGATGTCATATCGTTCGACGGAACGTTCCGCACAAACAAGTAATACTCCTGATTGATTGGAAGTCTTTACATATTATTATGTGTCCATAATTTTTATGGACACATGTTGTGGGAAGAAATAGACACAACTAATTTGCTTATATGTGTTTCAGGCATGCCATGATTTTCGTGCCTTTTTTGGCCGTTGACAACCACAAGGCTTCCGTTGTGGTCGGATCTGCTCTTATCAGTGGCGAGACAATCGATAACTTTACATGGGTTCTCAACGCTTTCCTAAAATGTCATGAGAAGCAACCAGTGTTCGTCATTACCGACCAATGTTCTGCAATGAAGCAAGCTATACCGATGGTGTTTACGGAAKCCAAGCACAGACTCTGTATGTGGCACATTATGAAGAAGGTGCCTTCAAAGGTACGTAGTATGTACGTAATGATATGCGTTTTTAAACGAATATCAATTTTTTAGTTTTTCATTAGTGGTCGACATATACAAGCTCGTATGGAACATACATATTGGACCATCGGAGTTCGAGAGTCGTTGGCATGAGATGATCGATGAATACAATATGGGGGGAGATCCTTGGTTCACAGAGATGTATGCCATTCGGCACTCATGGATTCCAGCCTTTTACAAGGACACGCCAATGTCTAGGTTAATGAAAACAACCTCAAGATCCGAGAGTTCGAATTCATATATTAATATATACGAATCGTACTGGTTTGATTTGGTTCAATTCCTTAACAATTACGACGTAGCTATTGAGAAACAAAGATACCGACAATCTGTTCACGAAATAGTAACGAGAACCACTAACCCTAAATTTGTAACCCCGCTGCGTTTAGAAAGTAATGCATCAAGCATATACAGTCGGAATGTGTCTTTTGACGTGCAAAAGGAAATAAAGAAGGCTGTCTGGTTCTATGCTATAGAGTCAGTTGAATGCCGGGATCACTTGAAGTCATTCGTGATAAGCCACAAGACCAAGAAATCCTCTGACAACATTTCCTATCTGGTATCATATCCCTAATCACCACAACAATGTTTTTTAGGTTTATTAACTTTATCTTTGACTGTGGTTGTTTGCAACCCTTTTTCAATCTAGGTGAACCGTAATTACTCAACGGACACCGTCGAGTGCGAGTGCAACCTATTCACGCGCAACGGCTATCTTTGTCGTCACGCGTTCAAGGTACTGATAAATGATGAAGTCGAATTCATACCGGATAGATATGTGTTACTGCGATGGAGACGACAATTAGTCCCAGTGCAGATACAATCGGCAAGGGTTCGTTACGGTGAGGTTGACGCAGAAAAAGATAAGTGTATATTTGATGTATATTCCAAGGTCGACGACATCATAAGCATCGCCCGGAATGATAAGACTATATTGTCTAGATTGGAGCGGTATCTCGACAGATTCATGGCTGATATAGAGAAGGAAGTCCCATATGAAGACCCATCTCAACAGAGGTTGGATGCAATTAGAGATCACCTAGGTGTTTCCATACCTGATGAGGTGGATATTCTACCACCATCTGGAATTAGAAACAAGGGATGTGGCACTGGTAAGAGACTGGTAAGTGTAGCTGAGAAAATGCAAAATAATAGCAAAAAAGCAAAACAAAAATGTGCAACCTGTGGGCAACGTAGTGGTCATGACTCACGTAACTGCCTAGAATTGATAGGTTAGTTACAATTCAAGTATTTAGGATTGTTTTGGTTTCGTTATAATTTGTTGACGTCAACCTCAAATACTGTTTTTAATTTGAGGGGATCGACACATTTTTTTTATACGATAAGCAACTACTTGACATAAATATTAGCTTATTATGAACTTAAAGGTTTTGAAGGTTCTTATCTTTTAAGTTTGAATTCTATTATTTGCTTCATATAGCAGTTCCTACTATTTGTTAGTGACTTCATTGTTATAACTATGTTACATAGATGTTATGGTCCTTTTACAATATATCAAAGTATGATACCCTTGTGTAGGCATCATACTAAGATCATACTACGTTTGAATCTTCATATACAATACAAACATGTTATACAAAATCAAGTTTTAACCTTCTATCTAGACTTAAGCATGCCCAACCCCACCCAAAACACATACACAAAATCCAGTACCAAATTCTCATAAAATAAAAGAAATGTGATTACCATTTTGCACATAATTCATGTCAGTAGCCTTTCCATTTCATATGTTAACTTTTCGATGCTTCAAGTGGTTATAGGCTACTAATTGTTTCTAGGCCAAGGACAAACACGAAGTATATAAAGAAAAAGTTCAAGCAACTCATGAATACCATAATTMAGTGTTGCAAGTGATGACTTTCCGGTCAAAACAATCACAGATGAATGGAGTTCAGAGATTGCACACGTCTTGCATAAATTCTGTTAAAAGGATAGGCCGGGCAAAGGTAGAATGACAAAAATTGGTACTGAACTCAACATACACTAAATAAAACAACCAAAATCCACTTTATGACCATGGCTGGTAGCATGAATGTAATGCAAAGGCAAACAACTCACCACAGGTACAAAAAACCTTGATATCCGATCGGCAAGTTTCTGTACAGGAGCTCTTGCTAGTTGAGCAGCCTCAAATATTTGAACTATTTGTGAAAGTGCAGTCTCTGACCCAATATGAGTGGCCTTGATCAACAAGCATCCATTATCGTTCACAGTCCCACCAATAACCTGTTTGTGATTCAGAAGAACATACTAATCAATTAGATGTGGAATGGAAAATTTAAAAAGAGGGGTGGGGGGGAACAAACATACCTTATCACCAGGATTTTTAGCAACTGGAACTACTTCTCCTGTGATCATACTTTCATTCACATATCCATGCCCATCAATGACAATACCATCAACAGGAAATTTTGAGCCAGAAAATATCCTTAGATTGTTGTTTCTTTGTATTAATTGAGTGCTAATTTCGGTCTCTGAAATAACATTTTTATCATCACCCATTGTCAACAAACAAGCTGTGTCGGGAGTTAGATCTGTCAAATTCGATAAAGCATCGGATGTCTTTCCTTTAGATATAGAATCAAAATATATACCTAGAAGTATAAATGAAATCAACAGTGTACTAGTTTCAAAAGAAAACTTGCTCCTCAAATCCATCGGAAAACGATGCTTTTATTACTGTGCATACAGAATAAAAGTAAGCAGTATTAGTGCCAATTGCAACCAGGACATCCATATAAGCAGATTTTCGCCTCAGTGTATGATATGATCCAACATAAACCCTGAATTCAAATAAACAAAGTACATATGAGATACTATAATAACATATGCATATTACCACAAACGGACAAAGATATGATGTCTTATCAGGACATGACATTGACCTTACCTTATACCAATATTGAACTGCACCGGTGTGCAGAGGATCCATCTCACAACCATTCCAACAGTAAGCATGTTATAAAGTTTATAACTTAACGAATTCCAGTATGGATTAATCATTGGAAATACCATACCGAACAACAAAAGTGGACGTGAAAATAGGCAGCTCCAAAGAAACTGATTTCTATACGTTTTGATATCATGATCTTTCCCTGTTTTATGTCGTCTTTCTGGAATGTATAAGCTTGCCTGATAATGAGTAGAAGCAGCACCAACTTATTGGATGAAGAATATAAGTGACCTGGGACCTGCCATATCTGGATCATAGCTAACAGCCACCTCATATTCTTCCATGTCAATCTCAACATGATTGACACCAGCTAGTGATTCCAGATAGGACTTGACTGCAGTCATATCTTCCGGAGAAGTGATACCTTCAATTTTTATATACACTTTGTTCCATCATTCCTAGAGCCTATAAGATCCGCCCCAAAGCCAGCATCTTCGACAGCTTCAATGATGCGATTAGTGTTGATAACATTAGGATCATAGTTTATCTTTGCTTCTTCAAGAGCTAAACCAACCACAGCCTTTTTCACTCCTTCAACCATCGAAAGAGCACGCTCAACTGACTCAGAGCAACTCGGACATGCCATTCCCTTAATTCTGAGTCGGCATACTGCAATGTCTTGCTCTGTAAATTCA